AAATCCCTTATGATTACACAGTAGATGTCACAAATAGATTCAACGGATTAGACCTCACAGAGTGCCTGAAGAACTATGGACAGAGGTTCATGACATTGTACAGGAGGCATTGATAAAGACCATCCCCAAGAAAAAGAACTGCAAAAAGGCAAAGTGGTGGCAAAGAGGCGGCCTCACAAATCGCTGTGAAGAGACGGGAAGCGAAAAGTAAAGGAGAAAAGGAAAGATATTCCCATTTGAATGCAGAGTTCCAAAGAATAGCAAGGACAGATAAGAAAGACTTCCTCAGTGATTAGTACAAAGAAATAGAGGAAAATAATACAATGGGAAAGACTAGAGACCTCTTCAAGAAGATTAGAGATACCAAGGGAACATTTCATACAAAGATGGGCTCACTAAAGGACAGAAATCGTATGGACCTAACAGAAGCAGAAGATTTTAAGAAGAGGTGGCAAGAATACACAGAAGAACTATACCAAAAAGAACTTCATGACCTAGATAACCACGATACTGCAATCACTCACCTAGAGCCAGACATCCTGGAATGTGAAGTCAAGTGGGCCTTAGGAAGCATCACTACAAACAAAGCTAGTGGAGATGATGGAATTCCAGTTGAGCTATTTCAAATCCTAAAAGATGATGCTGTGAAAGTGCTGCACTCAATATGCCAGCAATTTGGGAAACTCAGCAGTGGCCACAGGACTGGAAAAGGTCATTTTTCATTCCAATCCCAAAGAAAGGCAATGCCAAAGAATGCTCAAAATACTGCACAGTTGTACTCATCTCACATGCTAGTAACGTAATGCTCAAAATTCTCCAAGCCAGGCTTCAACAGTACATGAACCATGAACTTGCAGATGTTCAAGCTGGATTTAGAAAAGTCAGAGGAACCAGAAATCAAATTGCCAACATCCGTTGGATCATCTAAAAAGCAAGAGAGTTCCAGAAAAACATCTACTTCTGCTTTACTGAAAACGCTAAACCCTTTGACTGTGTGGATCACAACAAACTGTGGAAAATTCTTAAAGAGACAGGAATTCCAAACAACCTGATCTGCCTTCTGAGAAATCTGCATGCAGGTCAAGAAGCAACAGTTAGAACTGGACATGGAACAGCAGACTGGTTCCAAATTGGGAAAGGAGTATGTTAAGGTTGTATATTGTCCCCCTGCTTATTTAACTTATATGCAGAGTACATCATGTGAAATGCCATGCTGGATGAAGCACAAGTTGGAATCAAGATTTCTGGGGGAAATATCAATAACCTCAGATATGCAGATGACACCACCCTTATGACAGAAAGTGAAGAAGTAAAGAGCCTCTTGATGAAAGTGAAAAAGTTGGCTTAAAATTCAACATTCATAAAACTAAGATCATGGCATCTGGTCCCATCACTTCATGGCAAATAGATGGGAAAACAATGGAAACAGTGACAGACTTTATTTTTGGGGGCTCCAAAACCACTGCAGATGGTGACTGCAGCCATGAAATTAGAAGATGCTTACTCCTTGGAAGAAAAGCTATGACCAAGCTACACAGCATATTAAAAAGCAGAGACATTACTTTGCCAACAAAGGTCCATCTAGTCAAAGCTATGGTTTTCCCAGTAGTCATGTATGGGATGTACGAGTTGGACTATAAAGAAAGCTGAGCGCCGAAGAACTGACGATTTTGAACTGTGGTGTTCGGAGTAGACTCTTGTGAGTTCCTTAGAAAGCAAGGAGATTCAACCAGTCCATCCTAAAGGAGATCAACCCTAAGTATTCAGGATTCAGTTCAGTTCAGCTGCTCAGTCGTGTCCGACTCTTTACAACTCCATGTACCGCAGCACACCAGTCCTCCCTGTCTATCACCAACTCCCGGAGTTTACCCAAACTCATGTCCATCCAACCATCTCATCCTCTGTCTTCTCTTTCTCCTACCCTCAATCTTTCCCAGCATCAGGGTCTTTTCCAATGAGTCAGCTCTTTGCATCAGGTGGCCAAAGTACTGGAGTTTCAGCTTCAACATCAGTCCTTCCAATGAACACCCAGGACTGATCTCCTTTAGGATGGACTGGTTAGATCTCCTTGCAGTCCAAGGGACTCTCAAGAATCTTCTCCAACACCACAGTTCAAAAGCATCAACTTCTTTCAGTAGTCAAGAAAGCAGAAATAGATGTTTTTCTGGAACTCTCTTGCTTTCTCGATGATCCAGCAGATGTTGGCAATTTGATCTCTGGTTCCTCTGCCTTTTCTAAAACCAGCTTGAACATCTGGAAGTTCACGGTTCACATATTGCTGAAGCCTGCTTGGAGAATTTTGAGCATTACTTTACTAGTGTGTGAGATGAGTGCAATTGTGCAGTAGTTTGAACATTCTTTGGCATTGCCTTTCTTTGGGATTGGAATGAAAAATGACCTTTTCCAGTCCTGTGGCCACTGCTGAGTTTCCCAAATTGCTAGCATATTGAGTGCAGCATTTTCACAGCATCATCTTTTAGAATTTGAAATAGCTCAACTGGAATTCCATCATCTCCACTAGCTTTGTTTGTAGTGATGCTTCCTAAGGCCCACTTGACTTCACATTCCAGGATGTCTGGCTCTAGGTGAGTGATTGCAGTATCGTGGTTATCTAGGTCATGAAGTTCTTTTTGGTATAGTTCTTCTGTGTATTCTTGCCACCTCTTCTTAAAATCTTCTGCTTCTGTTAGGTCCATACCATTCTGTCCTTTAGTGAGCCCATCTTTGTATGAAATGTTCCCTTCGTATCTCTAATCTTCTTGAAGAGGTCTCTAGTCTTTCCCATTCTGTTGTTTTCCTCTATTTCTTTGCACTGATCACTGAGGAAGGCTTTCTTATCTGTCCTTGCTATTCTTTGGAACTCTGTATTCAAATGGGTATATCTTTCCTTTTCTCCTTTGCTTTTCATTTCTCTTCTTTTCACAGCTATTTGTAAGGCCTCCTCAGACAGCCATTTTGCTTTTTTATATTTCTTTTTCTTGGGGATGGTCTTGATCCCTGTCTCCTGTACAATGTCACAAACCTCTGTCCATAGTTCATCAGGTAGTCTGTCTATCAGATCTAGTCCCTTAAATCTACTTCTCACTTCCACTGTATAGTCATAAGTGATTTGAATTAAGTCATACCTGAATGGTCTAGTGGTTTTCCCCACTTTCTTCAATTTAAGTATAAATTTGGCAATAAGGAGTTCATGATCTGAGCCACAGTCAGCTCCTGGTCTTGTTTTTGCCGACTGTATAGAGCTTTTCCATCTTTGGCTGCAAAGAATATAATCAATCTGGTTTTGGTGTTGACCACCTGGTGATGTCCATGTGTAGAGTCTTCTCTTGTGTTGTTGGAAGAGGGTGTTTGCTATGACCAGTGGGTTCTCTTGGCAAAACTCTATTAGCCTTTGCCCTGCTTCATTCTGTACTCCAAGGCCAGATTTGCCTGTTACTCCAGGTGTCTCTTGACTTCCTACAGTTGCATTCCAGTCCCCTGTAATGAAAAGGACATCTTTTTGGGGTGTTAGTTCTAGAAGCCATTGTAGGTCTTTAGTACCTTTCAACTTCAGCTTCTTCAGCATTACTGGTCAGGGCATAGGCTTGGATTACCGTGATATTGAATGGTTTGCCTTCGAAATGAACAGAAATCATTCTGTCATTTTTGAAATTGCATTAAGTACTGCATTTTGGACTCTTTTGTTGACTATGATGGCTACTCCATTTCTTCTAAGGGATTCCTGCCCACAGTAGTAGATACAGTCTTCATCTGAGTTAAATTCACCCATTCCAGTCCATCTTAGTTCACTGATTCCTAGAATGTCGATGTTCACTCTTGCCATCTCCTGTTTGACCACTTCCAATTTGCCTTGATTCATGGACCTAACATTCCAGGTTCCTATGCAATATTGCTCTTTACAGTATCGAACCTTGCTTCTTTCACCAGTCACATCCACAACTGGGTGTTGTTTTTGCTTTGGCCCCATCCCTTCATTCTTTCTGGAGTTATTTCTCCACTGATCTTCAGTGGCATATTGGGCACCTACCGACCTGGGGAGTTCATCTTTCAGTGTCCTATCTTTTTGCCTATTCATACTGTTTATAGGGTTCTCAAGGCAAGAATACTGAAGTGGTTTGCCATTCCCTTTTCCAGTGGACCACATTCTGTCAGACCTCTCCACCATGACCCGTCCGTCTTAGGTGGCCCCACACGGCATGGCTTAGTTTCACTGATTTAGACAAGGCTGTGGTCCTGTGATCAGATTGGCTAGTTTTCTGTGATTGTGGTTTCAGTCTGTATGCCCTTTGATGCCCTCTCTCAGTGCATACTGTCTCACTTGGGTTTCTCTTACCTTGGTCGTAGGGTGTCTCTTCACGGCTGCCCCAGCAAAGCACAGCCACTGCTCCTGACCTTGGATGTGGGGTTGCTTCTCTCTGCCACCACCCCTGACCTTGGCTGTGGGGTAGCTCCTCTCAGCCACTGCCCCTGACCTTGGACGTGGGGGAGCTCCTCTCAGCCACCACCCCTGATCTTGGACGCGGGGTAGCTCCTCTCAGCCACCGCCCCTGACCTTGGACGTGGGGTAGCTCCTCTCAGCCACCGCTCCTGACCTTGGACATGGGGGAGCTCCTCTTAGCTGCCACCCCTGACCTTGGACGTGGGGGAGCCCCTCTCGGCTGCTCCTGGGCCGTGCAGCCACCGCTCCTAAACTTAAAGTGAGGTCTTTCTCATAAGGATTGGTGTTCCTTTATATAAATGGAAGCCTGGAGTCACCTAGGCATGCCACAAGTCAGATACACTGACTTGTGAGGTAAGCAAGCCTTCAGCTTGAGCTGAGAACTCTGCTACACCCAGGCTGTAATTTCTGCAAAGTTACATTCCTCTTTCTGACCCTTTCAACTGTTTCTTCCCATCTGTCTTAAGCACAATTCTTGAAAACAAGTATGAGTTTACAATTGCATAGTCACAACAGAGAGAAAACTGAAACCATCTGGGGAGCTTTTTCAAAAGATACATACCTAGAGCTTGACCTAAGAAATTTCCATTTCTTGGGTGGGGTCTCAGCACATGATCTTGAAAAAGTCTCCAGACAATTCTGATAAAACCTCTCTGAAAGAGAAGTGTTTCCCTGAAACCATATTTAGGCTTTTTTCCTGCTATGCAAATGATTCCTGACTTCCCATGGGTTGACTTAGAACTCTGACTTCACAATGGTGTGAAAGGGATACGCCTTCAGAAGAAACTGTACTTTGAATTGTGAATTTTTGACCTTTTCCTAGGCTATCAACAGCCTTCTCTCTTGATGCTGGGCAGCCACAGTTCCTATTAAGCCACACAATTACAAGGGGGAAACAACAGATATACTTACAACCACTCTGTACCCACACAACTATACTGTTTTTCACTGTCAATACAGAAGTCAATAAACTGCATGAGATAGTCAACACTATATTATAAAATAGGCTTTGCATGACATGACTTAGCCCAATAGTAGGCTAATATAAGTATTCTGAGTACATTTAAGGTAGGCTAGGCTATGGTATGATGTTCTGTGGGTTAGATGCACTAAATGTATTTTTGACTCACAATATTTTCAACTCATGATTTCAACTTAGTTTCTTCGGGACATAACTCCATCAGAAGTCAAGGAAGACCTATATATATAAGAAAGGGTTGGGGCAGATTTAGAAATTGAAAATATAAATATCAACTTAGGAAACTAAAAAAAAAATTCAAATTATTGGTATCAGTAGTCATTCAATGCTGCTCACTGATATCTATCTAATTCTCTCTTTCCTAAATCCAGCTGCTGCTGCTGCTGCTAAGTCACTTCAGTCGTATCCGACTCTGTGTGATCCCATAGACGGCAGCCCACCAGGCTCCCCCATTCCTGGGAGTCTCCAGGCAAGAACACTGGAGTGGGTTGCCATTTCCTTCTCCAATGTGTGAAAGTGAAAAGTGAAAGTGAAGTCGCTCAGTCATGTCTGACTCTTAGTGACCCCATGGACTGCAGCCTACCAGGCTCCTCCATCCATGGGACTTTCCAGGAAAGAGTACTGGAGTGGGGCGCCATTGCCTTCTCCATCCTAAACCCAGAGAACCACACTTTTCCCTGCTTGTCTGAAGTTTGACCTGGCTAAGTTACTGGCTTCCATCAATGAAACATAAACATCAGGGCACGTGTCACTTCCAAGCAGAAGCCTTCAAGAGAGAGTACACAAGTCACCTCATCCCCTTTTCCTTCCCTTGTGATGGTGGAAGCACATGTCAAGGTGGAGCATCCATCAGCTGAGATCCTTGGGTGACTGTGATGAAAAGGCCTCTGTCATCCCAGGAGTAAGAAACAAAGACTTCTGTGAAAAATCATGGAAATATGAAAGCTGTTCATTGCTGCTGCTGTTGTTCAGTGCCTCAGTCATGTCTGACTCTGAGACCCCACAGACTGCAGCATGCCAGGCTTCCCTGTCCTTCCCTGTCCACCTCTCAGAGTTTGCTCAAAATTCAGTTGGTGATGCTACCCAACCGTCTCGTCCTCTGTCATTGCCTTCTCCGCCTGCCTTCAATCTTTCCCAGCATCATGGTCTTTTCCAATGCTCATTTATGCAACATAATCTACTCTGTCCCAACTGATAAACTGGCACATCCTTCACTGAGTCTAAGCAATTTAAAGAGAATTGGTTCTGTCTTTAACAATGATAAAGTAAAACTCTCACTGTTTGCAGATGACATGATCCTCTACATAGAAAACCCTAACGACTCTACCAGAAAATTACTAGAGCTAATCAATGAATATAGTAAAGTTGCAGGATATAAAAGCAACACATAGAAATCCCTTGCATTCCTATACACTAACAATGAAAAAACAGAAAGAGAAATTAGGGAAACAATACCATTCACCATTGCAACAAAAAGAATAAAATACTTAGGAGCATATCTACCTAAAGAAACAAAAGACCTATATATAGAAAACTATAAAACACTTATGAAAGAAATCAAAAAGGACACAAATAGATGGAGAAATATACTGTGTTCATGGATTGGAAGAATCAATATTGTGAAAATGAGTATACTACCCAAAGCAATCTATAGATTCAATGCAATCCCTATCAAGCTACCAATGGTATTCTTCACAGAATTAGAACAAATAATTTCACAATTTGTATGGAAATACAAAAAACCTTGAATAGCCAAAGAAATCTTGAGAAAGAAGAATGGAACTGGAGGAATCAACCTGCCTGACTTCAGGCTCTACTACAAAGCCACAGTCATCAAGACAGTATGGTACTGGCACAAAGACAGAAATATAGATCAATGGAACAGAATAGAAAGCCCAGAGATAAATCCACGTACTTATGGACACCTTATCTTCGACAAAGGAGGCAAGAATATACAATGGAAAAAAGACAACCTCTTTAACAAGTGGTCTGGGAAAACTGGTCAACCACTTGTAAAAGAATGAAACTAGAACACTTTCTAACACCATACACAAAAATAAACTCAAAATGGATTAAAGATCTAAATGTAAGACCAGAAACTATAAACGCCTAGAGGAGAAGATAGGCAAAACACTCTCCACCATAAATCACAGCAAGATCCTCTATGACCCACCTCCCAGAATATTGGAAATAAAAGCAAAAATGAATAAATGGGCCCTAATTAAACTTAAAAGCTTCTGCACAACAAAGGAAACTATAAACAAGGTGAAAAGACAGCCTTCAGAATGGGAGAAAATAATAGCAAACGAAGCAACAGACAAAGGATTAATCTCAAAAATATACAAGCAACTTCTGCAGCTCAATTCCAGAAAAATAAATGACCCAATCAAAAAATGGGCCAAAGAACTAAACAGACATTTCTCCAAAGAAGACACACAGATGGCTAACAAACACATGAAAAGATGCGCAACATCACTCATTATCAGAGAAATGCAAATCAAAAACACAATGAGGTACCATTACACGCCAGTCAGGATGGCTGCTATCCAAAAGTCTACAAGCAATAAATGCTGGAGAGGGTGTGGAGAAAAGGGAACCCTCTTACACTGTTGGTGGGAATGCAAACTAGTACAACCACTATGGAGAACAGTGTGGAGATTCCTTAAAAAACTGGAAATAGAACTGCCATATGACCCAGCAATCTGACTCCTGGGCATACATACCAAGGAAACCAGAAATGAAAGAGGCAGGTGTACCCCAATGTTCATTGCAGCACTGTTTATAATAGCCAGGACATGGAAGCAACCTAGATGCCCATCAGCAGACAAATGGATAAGAAAGCTATGGTACATATACACAATGGAATATTACTCAGCCATTAAAAAGAATACATTTGAATCAGTCCTAATGAGATGGATGAAACTGGAGCCCATTATACAGAGTGAAGTAAGCCAGAAAGATAAACACCAATACAGTATACTAACACATATATATGGAATTTAGAAAGATGGTAAAATAACCCTATATGCAAGACAGAACAAGAAACACAGATGTATAGAACAGACTTTTGGACTCTATGGGAGAAGGCGAGGGTGGGATGATCTGAGAGAATAGCATCGAAACATGTATATTATCAAGTGTGAAACAGATCACCAGCCCAGGTTGGATGCATGAGACAAGTGCTCAGGGCTGGTGCACTGGGATGACCCAGAGGGATGGCATGGGGAGGGAGTTGGAGGGGGATTCAGGATGGTGAACACATGTAAATCCATGGCTGATTCATGTCAAAGTATGGCAGAAACCACTACAATATTGTAAAGTAATTAGCCTCCAACTAATAAAAATAAATGGAAAAAAAAAAAACAACAATGACTAAAAACTTACAGAGATGGCATTGATTAGAGGGAAATGGGAGAGTTTTAGCATCAGAGTGACCTTAGTTTAATCTGTGGTGTTGCTTGCTTATTGTAATAATAAAAATTAGTATATAAAGTCTGTATAATATACTATTACTTTTACCAACCACTAACACATATTAAAGAGCCTCTTGATGAAAGTGAAAGAGGAGAGTGAAAAAGTTGGCTTAAAGCTCAACATTCAGAAAACTAAGATCATGGCATCCAGTCCCATCACTTCATGGCAAATAGATGGGGAAACACTGGAAACAGTAGCCAACTTTATTTTGGGGGGCTCCAAAATCACTGCAGATAGTGATTGCAGCCATGAAACTAAAAGAAGCTTACTCCTTGGAAGGAATGTTATGACCAACCTAGACAGCATATTAAAAAGCAGAGACATTACTTTGCTGACAAAGGTCCATCTAGTCAAGGCTATGGTTTTTCCAGTAGTCATGTATGGATGTGCAAGTTGGGCTATAAAGAAAGCTGAGTGTCAAAGAATTGATGCTTTTGAACTGTGGTGTTGGAGAAGACTCTTGACAGTCCCTTGGACTGCAAGGAGATCCAACCAGTCCATCCTAAAGGAGATCAGTCCTGGGTGTTCATTGGAAGGACTGATGTTGAAGCTGAAACTCCAGTACTTTGGTCACCTGATGCAAAGAGCTGACTCATTGGAAAAGACCCTGATGCTGGGAAAGATTGAGGGCAGGAGAAAGAGAAGACAGAGGATGAGATGGTTGGATGGACATGAGTCTGGGTAAACTCCGGGAGCTGGTGATGGACAGGGAGGCCTGGCGTGCTGCAGTTCATGGGGTCGCAAAGAGTTGGTCACAACTGAACGACTGAACTGAACTGAACACATATGAAGTTGCTTACTATGTGCTAGGCATTGTGCTATGCACTTTACACGGGTTATTTCACTTACTTTTCCATTTTAAAGATGAGAAGAATGAAGATTCGAGGTGTTACATAACTTGCCCAAGGTCAGAGCGCTATGAGGTGGTGGAGCAAGGCCTCTGACACAGGCAGCCGGGCCTCAGAGCCTGTGAGCTTCATGACTCCTCTACACTGTCTCCCAGAGTGACTCCGGCCAAATTATTTTGCATCTCAGCTTCCTCAATTTAGGATGAGGTTGAAAGCTATCAGGCAACGGGTTTGTGAGGATTAAAGGAGATACTATCATTCCTGGCATACAGTAAGCATTTAAGACATGGTAGCTAGTATTTTTCAGTAGCCAATATGTCAATCATTTCTGCCTATTCTATAAATGGAGATTAGTCAATATGCAAGAAAAAGGTAACATTAGTGAATACTTGTCATAACCTATGGGAATACTGTACTGTAAAAAGATAGGTAGCACAGGCACAATAATCAAATCCTACATGTATTCCTTAATGGCCGATATGGAAATGATTATTGTTAATTTCCTTAAATAAATAAAGTTTTTTTAAAATAAAGATACAGTGTACAAATAGCACCCATAAAATTTTCAATGATGTATCCAGTAACTTCAAGCCATTGTTATTATTTTTTAAATATTTATTTATTTTCTTTGGTTGTGCCAAGTCCCAGTTGCAGCATGTGGGATACAGTTCCCTGAGCAGGGACTGAACCCAGGCCCCTTGCATTGGGAACATGGAATCTTAGCCACTGGACCACCAGGGAAGTCCCAAGCCATTATGCTGTAAAGTCCAAGGAGAAACATCTCAAGAATAGTGAGAAGACATTTTATGCTCAGCTAGCCACAAATGATATGCTGGGATCATTCAATAACCTTATGTTCACATATTAATTACTGACTACATAAGAAAACACCATTATTAAATGTGAAACTATTTGTTCTGGGCCTTTTCTTTAACTTCCTCATTTCTTTTGCTTCCTTATGTAATGTTATAAGAGTATATACTTTCTACATAGACAATCATGTCTTCTGCAAAGACAATTTTATTTTCTTCCTTCCAAATCTGTATACTTTCCACTTTGTCTTTTTCATTAGCTAGGAGCTTCCTGGGTAGCTCAAATGGTAAAGAATCTGCCTGCAATGTGGGAGACCTGCGTTTGACGCCTGGGTCAGAAGATCCCCTGGAGGAGGGCATGGCAACCCACTCCAGTGTTCTTGCCTGGAGAATCCCATGGACGGAGGAGCCTGGTGGGCTATAGTCCATGGGGTCGCAGAGCCGGACAGGACTGAATGACCATCACTTTCACTATCAGGACATCCAATATGATGCTGAAAAGGAGTTTCCTTGCTCCTGATCTTAGTAGGAAAGCTCCTATTGTCTCACTGTTAACTATGACGTTCACTGTAAGTTTTCTGTACATGTTCTTTATCAAGGAAGCCTCTCTATTCCTCTCTATCTACTCAGTTCTTATGATGAGTATTGGATTCTGTCAAATGCTTTTTCTGCATCTGTTGATAGGATCATGTGACTTTTCTTTAGCCTGTTGATGTGATAGATTATACTGACTGATTTTCAAATGCTGAACCATTTCATATGTAACTGCATATAATCCTTTTTTATATGTTGTTGGATTACATTTGCTTACATTTTGTTGAGAACTTTTGTACCTATCTTCATGAGTGATATTGGTCTATAGTTTTCTTTTATGTAACATCTTTGTCTGATTTTGGTATCAGAGTAATGCTGGTCTCATAGAATGAGTTAGGAAGTATTCCTTTTGTTTCTATTTTATAGAAGAGATTGTAAAGAACTGGTGTAATTTCTTTCTTAAATGTTTGGTAGAAATCACCAGTGACCACATCTGGGCCCACTACTGTCTGTTTCAGAAGCTTATTACTTATTTAATTTCTTTAATAGATAAAGACCTATTTAGATTGTCTACTACATGATCTTTTGATAAGAGGGGTTCATTCCATCCCTCTTGTTAAGATCCTTCATAACTTACAGCTTCATAATTATCTTCTAAGTTTGGCATATGCTTTTTAGTCCATTGTCATTTCTTATCACTTTCACTCCCTGCATATCTGATTACACACATTTCCCCCCAAAATATCAAGCTCTGACATACCCACATGCATTTACAGAGGCATCCTCTGTATTCCAAAGGTATCTTTTTCTAACGTGTATTTGTCTTACTAAACTCAGCTTTCTGCAGAAGCTGTTCTTGATGTCTCCAGGCAGTCCAGCTGTCCCATTCAACTTGTATAATAGAGAAACAAAAAGTACTCTTTAAAACTACCAAAAATTCCAAGCTTTTCAATAGTTATTTTACATGTTCCATGTAATTCAAGGTATACAATAAACTATATGATACTGACCTGGTTGTAGATTGTGTCCTTTATAAATTCGTTACCTAAAACAGACACATTTTGATACAACATATCAAGGACAGTGCAAACACTGAACAATAAAGTGTCATTTCAAGATAAAGGTTAAGTATATATCAAGAATAAAGACTCAGTATATATCAAGACTGAAGACAAACATGAGTACTCATTTGGATGCATGCTTAGATGTGTCATTTATCAAGGCTGTATTATGAAATGTTTGAGTCTTTCTGTTTCTTTTATTTATTGTGAATGATTAAGAGCTTAAACTCTGGAGTCACACAGACTTGAGGGAAACACTACTTATACTTTGTGAGATCTCGGCCAAGGGAGTAAACCCCATCTGGGTTTTCTCAGGGGATAAATAAAGAACTAGTAATTGGTAGTGATAGTAAATGATGATACTGATATTGCTAGAGGTACTAAAAATAGTGTCATTATATAGACGTCTCTTTCCTTCCACATACAATGGTGAAAAAAAAATACCTTTTTTTTACCATGACTCCTTAGTGCCCTGTGAATAATAACCTATTGAAAAGAGAACCCCTTCTCCAACCTATTCTCCCTTTTTCATTTTTATAACTTTGACAAAAGTAGTTGAATACAGCAGTCACTAGATGGAGCAACATTCCTAGCAGAGTAATCCTTCTAACCAAGAACTTTCCATTTAGTATTTAATAAAAATAAACCAAGTCTAGAAGAAAAATCACTCATAAGTAGGTTACCTGGTACATTTTGTTACCTGGTACATTTGAACATAAATGATTTTGAATACCTCAGAGATATGAATATGAGAAAACAAGAGAGATATTTGGATACACCATAGTCATATGTGGTATTAAAAGCTGAACTGGGTTCCCCCAAAAGTCGTATGTTGAAATCCTAACCCCCAGCACATTAGAATGTGACTGTATTTGGAGGTAGGGTCTTTAGAGAGGTAATTAAGTTAAAATGAGGTCATTAGGCTAGGCTCTAATCCAATATGACTGGTGTCCTTATAGGAAGAGAAGATTTGGGCACAGAAGTATACAGAGAGAAGACAACATGAAAACACAAGAAAAAGAAAATGATCTACAAGTCACGAAGAGAGACCTGGAACAGATGCTTCCTTCAGGCTCCTTAAAAGAAACCAACTCTGCTGAACCTCAATCTTGGACTTCTCACTTCCAAAACTGCAAGAAAAATAAACTTCTGATGTTTTAGCCATCCAGTCCATTGCAGTTGACTATGTAAACTCCAGCAAACAAATACAGGCTTCCCAGATGGCACTAGTGGTAAAGAATCTGCCTGCTAATGCAGGAGACGCAAGAGACTTGGGTTCAGTCCCTGGGTTGGGAAGATCCCCTGCAGGAGGAAATGGCAACCCACTCCAATATTCTTGCCTGGAGAATTCCAGGGAGAGAGGAACCTGGCAGGGTGTAATCCAAGGGGCCGCAAAGAGTAGGATCCGACGGAGTACACACACAGAGCAAACTACTACAATGTGGAAAGGAATACTAGGAAGTAAGTTCCATACAGGCAAGAATTTTTGTCTTTTTTGTTCATTGTTATATCCCAAGCACCTAGAACAATGCCTGGCACATAATATGTGTTTGATACATATCTGCTTTGTGAACTAATAAAGCAGATTAATAAAATTCTTGCCATAGATTACTCTACTAAATACCAGTGATGTTTTCTATTTTCATAAGATCCAAGAACATGAACACCCAGTGCTCTTACCAAGTACTATGGTGTAATTGGTCTGCTGCCACAGCCCAAATACAAAAAGTCCTCTGGTGAAACTCGTGTTATGATTCAGTTCCTGGAGTAATTTCCTGAAGAACAGAAGAGTCAAGAAGACAAAAATACTACTGTAATATAATAAATGTGAATTAGTCCACACAGAGAAACAGATCAACCTTGTTAGACCCATCCTGGGGAAAATGCCACAGATACAGCTTGCTGGTAATGCTGTTCTCACATAAGCATTTGGTTAGCTGATTTCACCACAGGCATTGTGAACAGCCTGGAATTATAATTTAAAGGAAAAATAAATAAGGACTTTTCTCTGCTGTTCTTCAAGCACTTTTTAGATGGACACAGAAAAAATACTAATTAAATTTCCTTCTTATATATTCAGTTACAAAGTCACGGTGCATGTCTGTCTTAAACCCATATCCAGGTCTTAATGTCATCACTATTACCACCAATCAATACTTAATTTGGTACCCTGAAGATGCAAGGAAAATAACAGCAAAAGAAAACAAAAGAAATATGGAATGAAGACTCTGATTTTAAATTACATGCAAATATCCTTTAAATAGGGCTTCCCTGGTGGCTCACATGGTAAAGAATCCCCCTGCAATTAGGGAGAGCTGGGTTTGATCCCTGGGTTGGGAAGATCCCCTGGAGGAGGGCATGGCAACCCACTCCAGTGTTCTTGCCTGGAGAATCCCCATGGACAGAGGTGCCTGGTGGGCTACAGTCCATGAGGGTGCAAAGTCGGAAAAGACTGAGCAACTAAGCACAGCACAGCATATCCTTTAAATAACAGCTAGAAGAAAGATTCACCAAAATGATAATAGTTCTGTTAGAGGCAATAATACCATAAATAATTCTTTCTCTCTTCAATTTGTAATTTTATATAATAAGTCTCAGTTTTTAGAGCATAAAGTTCTCAAAAAACATTCTAACGTCTAATCATTACTGAAGTGAAAGTCACTTAGTCGTGTCCAACTCTGCGACCCCATGGACGGTAGCCTGCCAGCCTCCTCTGTCCATGTGGATTCTCCAGGCAAGAATACTGGAATGGGCTGCCATGCCCTTCTCCAGGGGATTTTCCCAACCCAGGGTTGGAACCCAGGTCTCCCGAATTGCAGGCAGATTCTTTACCAGCTGAGCCACCAGGGAGCCCAAATCATTACCGAAATTCCCCCCAAAGAGAGAGGACGATACAACAGTATTTATTTTTAAAGTATATTTTAAATTTTATTTATTAATTACTTTTTGGCTGCACTGGGTCTTTGTTGCTGCAGGCAGGCTTTCTCTAGTTGAAGCAAGCACAGGCTACTCTTCATTGAGACGTTTGGGCTCTAGAATGCGACTTCAGTAGTTGTCCACATGCTCCACGCCATGTAGAATCTTTCCAGATAAGGGATCAAACCCTCATCCCCTGCATTGGCAGGTGGATTCCTAACCACTGGACCACCAGAAAGTGTTAAATTATGTTTAATCAATAAATTTACATAGAGTATGCATGAGAAAGCCAGAATACAATAGCTTCGTGGTCAAATAAAATTCAGCATTTTAAACTCTAAATTTGGAGATTCCCATCTACTTTGAAAGTAATTTAAAAATCAAGTCAAAGCTTGTTCTGTTTGGGGCCTGGAATTAGCTCCCAAACTGATGCAATCTGAAGCCAGGGCCAACAAGTGTTTACCAAAGTCTTCGTCCCAGAGGGAGAAGCCGCATTTCTAATTCTCCAGAAGTGATGCTGTTGGGATTGCCTTGAGATGTGAAACAAGGCAGCAGGAGTAGGAGGAGTACGAACATGAAATTCATTCCGAAATACTCCCTTTCCAGCAAAAATGAAAGCTACTTTCCCACGATATACAATTTATAGTCAAGCCCTCCTTTATTAAAGGTTTTAATTAGCTGCCTGTGCATTCCCTCCTTATTCCTAGGAACCATGGCATAAACAGGAAGTTCATGCCTCTGGGGCTTATTTGTTGCGGAATGGAAAATATGAAGCTGTGGACTTTCTCAAGGATGATTTAGAGGGAAAGGAGCCTTAAATTACCATACTCCCCTCCTTATCTTCTCCAGAAGGCTTAAAAACCAAGGCACTTCACAAGCAGTACTCCACTCCCACGAATATAAACAGTTCTTTCCCGCCTGTGACTGGAGATAAACTTGAGAGTTCTGCCATAGGCTTGTGCCATACTCTAGGGCGGGCACCCCAAAGCAACGATGATCTGCCACTCAGCACCCTTACAACTGTGTGCTGCAGTCTGCCCTGACAACCACAGGGCTCCAGAGCTAAAACTAGAAAGTCTACCGTATCAGCTACCCAAACACCACAAAGTGTTGGATATTCTAAGGCCAGGCCGATGGAAGAGCTCTGCAGCTTGACTGTAATGGTAGTTTTACAAAACTAGGCACGAGGTAAAATGGCACAGAAGGATACATAAAAATCGTGTGCCACTGTCAATTTCCTAGCTTTTTTTTTTTAACACGTAAGTTAAGATGTAACTATGACAGCACACTGGAGAGTGTACACATAAGCTCTTGCTACTGTCTTTGCAACTTGCGGAGAATCTCTATTTGTTTCCAGATGAAATGTTTTTTAAAGTGCGTCTGCTCGTGCACCTCGCTATACTTTGAATGGCTTGCATCCGGACAAGTAATCCAGAAAAAAACACAGCCTGGTTTTCTACCTTGAGGTTGCAGCCGCCTCCCAGCGGAAAGCTGGAGGTGGGGAATACTCTGGCTAGTGCTGTGTCTCAGCCTGGGATTCCCTCACCGCCCTCCCACCCGCCTGTTCTTCCCGAGGGTGGCTGCTTCCCGTCTTTCGGGTCACACCTCAATGCCGCCTCCGTACAGAGGCTTTCCCTTGGCGCGGTATCTACAGTCGCTACTCTCGGGGCTTTCTGAGTTCCCGAAGCCTTCCCGGCGCGCCCCCGTGGCCACGTGTAATGCTTTGCTCCGTTTGCTTGCCGGTTACCTGTAACACCTCCAGGAGGGCGGGCCCCGTGTCCCCCTGGCGTGCTCGGCCCCCAGCAATGAGTACCCCGCCCGGCGACGGCAGGGAGAGGACTTTACTTCAAGTAAGGGCACTCATTCGAATTCCCTGCTTTGGGCTCGAGGCTGGTCGCACCGCTTCCTCCCCTCACACCACGGGAGCGAATTCCCGCTTTGGGCTCGAGGCTGGTCGCACCGCTTCCTCCCCTCACACCACGGGAGCGAATTCCCTGCTTTGGGCTCGAGGCTGGTCGCACCGCTTCCTCCCCTCACACCACGGGAGCTCCCGGTCTAGGGCTGACTTCGGTGCCCTCACACGGGCCACACGAGTGCGCCTCTGCTTCCTGCCTTCACCTGGACCCTAACCCGCCCGAGGAGGGCACCATCTTCTAATTCGTTTGTCCAGAAGGGAGCCGCTTCAGCGTCTTTCTCCACAGCCTCTCCTCAGGCCATCCTCTCAGCGTCCTCCCGCATCTCTTCTACCGCAGCTACCGCCCCGGGGGCCTCCGCCCTTCATTTCCGGCGAGGCCCCTCCCTTCCGGTGCTGCCCCCGGCCCGGACCCCCGCCTCAGGGGCGCCTCGCCCCTCAGGCCACGCCCCTCAGCCCTTGGCTCGCTGGAAGGGCGGGAGAAGAGGCCAGGCGGGAGGGGCGGGCGGCGGCTGGGGGGCGTGTCCTCCTCGGTCCTTGGAGGCGATTGGCTGGACCGCGGAGAAGGGGCGGGACTGCTGCCTGTGTCTAGGGGCTCCCGGGTCATCTCCGGGCATTCTTCGCAGTTCTACAGGCTGTGGCGGGTTCTAGTCGACAGTAGCGACTCTGGTTCGGGCAGCATGTCTGACAAGCGGCCAGCAGTGGACACCCAAGCTCGGCGGCTTCCCGATTCCGTCAAGGGTGAGCCCCGTGCCCCTGGCGAGGCCCGTGGGGTCGCCCGCCGTCCCCCTTCACCTCCTTTCGGGAAGGGCCCCGGCCCAAAGGCCCCAGGAATATCTGCGATGTTTCTTAGCCGAGTGACCGTTGCTCACAACCGACGTTTCTGCCCATTGTACGCTGAGAATGACGAACCCTACTTCCCAGGCTGGGGGAAAAGTTTTAGGGATGTTAGGGTGCAGGATGCACGCCCAGTGCCCCGCACTACCGGGACGCGGCATCGAGGGCGTGTCTCCGGTGCCCACAGCCAGAGCAGGGACTCGCGTTATCCAGCGGCTGCCAGATGCCAGGCCCTGTGCCAGCGCTTTCCGCTCTTTATCTCGTGGCGTGCACGAGTGACTGGCGGCAGCGGCTGGTGGAGTCGGGGCCCAAACCTGCCCGCCACGCCCGGGCGCGGGGGAAGTCGGCGTCTTCGCCCCGCTCCCCCTCAGCCCCATCCGAGGACAGCTCCGCCACCCCGCCCTCGCCCACCCTCAGAGTAAGCCCGGTCCTCCCGAACTAGAAAGAACTCCTGCTCCCCACCCTGGCCAGTTTGTCTTGCTAAACCCCGCAACAGACCCGTGCGGTTTTGCCACAGGTTCCCTACACAGTTGCGGAAGAAGGCTCATTTTGGCATCCTTCCTGTATCGCTTTCCAGCTTCACTTTCTGCCTCACTCTGGCCCCTCCACTTTACTTCCTTTGTTCTAGGAACATCGCCATCCTGGCTTTTGGCCCTCACTAGGAATTGTGAGTTCCCCACCCTACCAGGGCCTTCCCAATCTTGAAGACAGAAATTGTGTAACTCAATTTGTTCCCCTGTGAAGGGACTAGCCTCTTGAGAGGGCTATCTCCTCGAACCGTTACTGGCTAACTCCTTGGGGGAGATGGGGGTGGTTCATAAAGAGATGCTTGTAAACCTCTCAGGAGTACTGATTCCCTCCCAGGGGTTCTTCGTGATCCAAAGGAATTCTTTCTAAGGACAGAATTTCAGACAGAATGACATAGTGAAAAAAATTTGGAGGCTGGGTGGGCTTTTCCAGCACCCCACAAAGAACACGATACTGCAGGGGTCCCCAGACTCTGGGATCTAGTGCCTGATGATCTGAGGTGGAGCTGATGTAATAATAATAGAAATAAAGTGCACAGTAAAGGTAATGCGCTTGAGTCATCCCGTCCACCTCTATCCAGCTTCCATGTGTGGAAAAACTGTCTTCCAGGAAACTGGTCCTTGGTGCTAAAAAGGTTGAGGACCGCTGCACTGGACTCATCAATTGTGATGACAGCCTTGTCCACTGATCCAATATGTCCCCATTTCCTTTTCCAGCAATCTTTGTCTTTAGTTCCATTCCAGGAACATCTAAAGAATTATAGAAGTCTTAAATTGTCACCTTTCTGTACCTTGGAGAGTTACTTTCCCAAATCAGGAGTGTAGTAGAGAGGATATTCTTGAAGAAACTGATACTCAAGAGGTTAAATTACTTTGTCACACAGTTTATGAGAAATGGAGTCAGATTTTAAGTCTGGGTTTTTGGCTGATCCTAAAACTTGCCCATATAAAAATTATGCAGTCTGCCTCTTTGATAGTCAGTTGTCTTTTTCTGGAAGGGAAAGTGGGCAGATCCTTTCCTCTTCACCCTGAAATCCTGGTGGGAAAATAGAGGACCATGAGGACAGTATTAGAAGTTTGGTGACACTCTGGTAGGAAATCTGTAGAAGTTCTTTGGGAATAAACATGATCTTTGGACTTAATGTGAGTTGTGTCTCGTGCTCACAGAACAGCATTCACTCTTAAGTTCTTTTTCATGATTCTGCACTTCACTACATTTTAGACAGAAGTCTTTTTAAGAATCTAATGAAAACTGTGCACCTTTTCCTCTGAAAATCATACATATATAAACAAAATTTTGCCTGGGCTGTCACTTTTTTTTTTTTTTGAATGTGAGACTTAGAGATGTGACACTGATAGGAAAGCCAATACTAGAATTTATTAAATAGAATTTACCGAGTGCTTGCCAGATGCCAAGCACAGCCCAGATACTTTAAAAGCATTATCCAGTGCAATCCTCTAACAGCTCCACAAGGAGAATGTCATTCTCTATCCCTTTGCAGCCAGGAAACTGAAGCTCAGAGTGGAAAAATCACCCACACCTGTGAACTAGGTTCAACCTTGAACTGACTTTACAAATCATTTTCCCTATCCTAGAGCTGCTTCCAGAAAGTGAAGGTGTTAGTCGCAGTTCATGTGGGACTCTTTGCAACCCTACGGGCTGTAGCCTACTGGCTTCTCTGTCCATGGATTCTCCAGGAAAGAATCCTGGAGTAGCTGGTCCCTCTCTGACTCCAGGAGATCTTCCCGATGTGGGGGTTGAGCTTGCAGAACCAGGGGTTGAACCCAGGTGTCCTGCATTGCAGGCAGATTCCTCACTGTCTGAGCCGCCAGGGGAGGCCCTGGGACCGTCTCTGGAGTGGCGCACCCCGAAGGAGGGGCCTGGCCAGCGCCAGAAGCTGAGGGGCCACAAAGGGATCTGGCGTCAGGCAAGCATTCCCGGATAAGACGGCTCCAGAGGGCTGCCTCTGAGAGGGGCAGCGGGGCACAAAAGCCCAAGCTGGCCCTCTATGACTTTGCTGGTGATTAGTCTTAGGGACGCAAACAGGACCGAACCCTCGGGCAAGACGAGTTTTTCTTTACAGTCACTGCGTTCACTTTGTAATGAAACAATGCAAGTGGGTTACAAAGAAATGCATGATTGTAATTAAGAGTCATGTCAACAGAATAAGTCCCTTTGGGAGAGTGCCTGAAAATAAGCAGAATCAGGGGACTGCTTTGTTTATTTCAGTTGTTACACTCGATCAGATGGGGAGTACTTTGTAACTTATTTAATAATTAATCTGAGTTAAATCCATCAGTGGTCATAGATTAACTCAAGTGATGACAAGTCTGCAGAAGTTGGCATTTCTGTCATTTATTATAATTAAATAGATTATTGGAGCCACCTCATGTTATAACTTACACACTGTAAAAGACAGAGTCATTGATCACCTGGTCAACTTTGAAGAAAAATAATTTTTTAGTGTTGATAAATATGATACAGATTGGATTCAAAGTCTGTTTTGTAAGATGTCAGAAAACACTTTCCTGAAAACTATTGTAACCAGAAAAAGTGAGCCCCTCTTCTCTGTTTCTCCCTGACAATTTGAACCGGCCTCTGTCATACTGTTTATTACACAGTACTATAAATGTAAATTATAATCACCTTTGTTAGACCAGGAGAGCTTCTGAAAGCAGAGGATTGTGTCCTTGATCACTGTAGTAAGTTCAGGGTCAAGTGCCTAGTAGGTTTGCAAACATATTTGTTGAAAGAAAAAGGAAGGAGTGAGATAAAGTTTACATTGGTGGAGATATTTTTCTGTTTAGAGTTTGTTTTATTAAGTTTGTTACAACTCAAAGGATTGATTTTAGGGTGTGGACTTGTTCCTCATACATGTCCTCATTACAGATAGACTGGGTTTACGTTTTCGATAAAGGGATTGTAATTGTCAAAGTAATATATTGTACTTAATAAGGAATCTCCTTGTTTATGAAAGTGTGGAAAGAGCAGTTAGAGGTCACAGTAGAAAGAAGGAAGTGTGTGTCAGATCTCTGTTGACACAAATCATTCTTCGACACAAATCATTCTTCCGTTCTTTTTGGACCTTTGTCTATACTCTGAGACTTGTAAAGATACCTGAACCCCAAACATTTGCCCTGACTTTCAGTAGATTGGCCTTGAAGTTACTGGCAATAACATGTCTGTCCTAAAATATCAGACAATGAAAATTAGATACCAGCCTTGCCTAGTTGTAAATATGCGTGGATGGTAAGATTGTATACATAGCAAAATGAGGATGGAATCTATTTCTTTTTGGATGAATTTTTTTTTTCCATTTATTTTTATTAGTTGGAGGCTAATTACAATATTGTAGTGGTTTTTGCCATACATTGACATGAATCAGCCATGGATTTACATGTGTTCCCCATCCCGATCCCCCCTTCCACCTCCCTCTCCATCCCATCCCTTTGGGTCTTCCCAGTGTACCAGCCCTGAGTGAGGATGGAATCTAAAATTCAAAGATCTGAATTGAGACCTCAGTAGCATCACTTACCACCTGGGTCACCTGGGGAAGTCTCTCAATCTCCAGAGTCAATTCCTCATCTAGATATTGAGCATCATCTTACAGTACTATCTAGCTCCCAAAGTTTTGAGTATCAAATGAGAACATTTTTGTGAATGTACTTTTGAAATTTTAAAATGTAAATTATTAAGATATTATTTATTGGGGACAACAGAATAAAAAAGTTAACAACAGCTTAGTAATTATACAGAAAATTAAAATTTATGGACAAAAAGTGTGAAAGTCCAAGAAAATTTAGGACTCTGACTTATCTCCCCAAATGTGGTCTGTTTCTCCCCCAGGGACAGAATCCCCAAGCAGGTTGTTAGTCTTGATGTTTCTCTATGGTGTGCAGGTCCCAGAAGGTAATTCACTTAATATAAAGTTTATTCCTTTGTACTGTCAATAGTTACCTTACAGTTCTGATCATAATGATGGTTACTATTTATTGAACACTTCCTAAATGTCAGGCACTCTACATATTTTTTCATATGAGATAACTATTCTCTTCCCTCATTTAGTGAAAGTGAAATCACTCAGTTGTGTCCGACTCTTTGCAACCCCATGGACTGTAGCCTACCAGTCTCCTCCGTCCATGGAATTTTCCAGGCAAGAGTACTGGAGTGGGTTGCCATTTCCTTCTCCAGGGGATCTTCCTGACTCAGGGATTGAACCCAGGTCTCCTGCGTTGCAGGCAGATGCTTTACCGTCTGAGCCACCAGACTCTCTTGCTTTTCACTTTCCTAAGTGTCAGGCACTGTGTATTTTCTCATATGAGGTAATGACCATTCTCTTCCCTCATCTCCCTTCCCTGGGGGCTCAGGCGGTGAAG